CGTACGAATCACGTCAGCCAAATTGACAGGCTTTCAGTGAAGGGGACAACGAACGGGCCCCAAGAGTTTCAAACATTGGGAACCCAGCAGGGTGTTTTACCAAACCACAGGTTTCAGAGTTCCAACCTGCCGAATCAAGACTGGAATCATCAGTGCATTTCGTTACGTCTTCAGAAAATCAGTTGGCATCTGTTGGCACGTAGACCTGCAAACTGAACAATTATTCCACTCCTCACAACAGGATGTGGACAAATACCCGCAAACAGTTTGAAGCTAGCACAGGCCAGGCACAAAAGATGTTGTGCTGGCCTCGTATTGATTTCCAAACTGCTTTCATTGCGGCTTTGGTGCTGGGAGACATTGCAAATCTGCGAGCCTATCCCGAGCAAAGCTCCTCAGCATACAGAATTGTAAAGCCATACACAATTGTGGTCGCCACAATCAACATATGCCGCACAATAACTCCGCGTTTTTAGACCTCCAACAGATCGAACGCTGGGGGCTCTGTGTATGCCGCGTGTGTAGAGATTCCTTTTCTTTCTCTCTCTGTGCCTGTGTGTCTCTCACAAAGTCCTAGGCATACTTAGCATCTCTGTTTTCAAAGATTGAAACCGCTTCCAGGATGGCCAAGAGTCGGCTTTCATCCGTCGAGATGTCATGCTCCTGCCAAACAATTGTACTTGGTTTGGCCGAGAATCCGTTCAAACATGTTGTGAAGCTTAGGTTGGAGGCCACCACTAGTAGGTTGGAGCCCATCGCCACTAGGTTGGAGGCCATCACGAGTAGCTTGAAGGCCATCGCGAGTAGGTTGGAGGCCATCGCCAGTAGGTTGGAGGCCATCGCCAGTAGGTTGGAGGCCATCGCCGGTAGGTTGGAGGCCATCGCCAGTAGGTTGGAGGCCATCGCGAGTAGGTTGGAGGCCATCGCCAGTAGGTTGGGGGCCATCGCGAGTAGGTTGGAGGCCATCGCGAGTAGGTTGGAGGCCATCGCGAGTAGGTTGCAGGCCATTGCGAGTAGGTTGGAGGCCATCGCGAGTAGGTCCGAGGCCATCGCTATTGGGTTGCAGGCCATTGCTACTAGGTTGGAGGCAATTGCAACTAGGTTGGAGGCCATCGCTATTGGGTTGTAGGCCATTGCTACTAGGTTGGAGGCAATTGTAACTAGGTTGGAGGCCATCGCTATTGGGTTGGAGGCAATTGCTACTAGGTTGGAGGCCATCGCGATTTGGTTGGAGGCCATCGCTATTAGGTTGGAGGCCATCGCTATTAAGCCGCTATTAGGTTGGATGCCATGGCTACTACCTTAAGCAACAGGGCGAACATATGCAAAGAGTCTCATGATCTCATGCCTGCCTTGGCCACAGTCTCGAGGTTTTTCAACGCCAGTTGTAAATGGGAGATTGCCACTTCCATGCCGCAGCAGTTCAATGACAATTTTGTATTTCCTTGATAATGGGGTCGCTGGCTGCGTTCTAATCCCTTTTATCTTGAAAGCTGCATTCCCCCCGCAAAAAAGAACAAACTGTGATGTGACCTGGCTGCCCTGGCCCTTTTTTTTCCTTTGATCAAAGGAAAGGAGGGGAAGAACGTGCACAGTTTGTGCACGGCTTGTGCTCTTCTTGTAGTCTTATCATGTCTTATCCCTGCTTGTCACTCAACGATTTCTTCTGCCAGAGTGTGGTGCTGCTCAGCGTTCCTACGACAAAACCACGTCCGCAAAGGTATCGGCATTCTGTCTGGTGCTACACTTGAGCCCAACCAGCAACACACAAGTGTAACATCAGGACCTACGGCGTTTTTTTGCAAGTAGGAGCAAAGGACGCTACTAGGAACAAGTGCATCGCTACTAGTAACAAGTGCCTTACTAGTAGTAACAAGAAGCTATTAGAAACAAGTGCCCTTCGACTCCTCCTGCATTATCCTGAGGGGAACTTATCTCTTCATAGGTTTTTTTTGACATGAAGGGTGAGACACGTTTAGTATGCTTACTGTATGCTTGCTTCCTGTGTCCAGCTTCAAATCAACTGGCAACAAGCGCTAACTACCACAACGTGCAGGGAAATCTTCACAAAGGCAAGTGCGGGCACAGCTGCCTAACGCAGCCCACTGCATTCGCGTCAAGCTGATGAAGGAGATGCACAACTCCTCCAGGACATTCCAGAACAATGGAGCAAGTAACGCTCGCTTAAGAGTCTATGAAGCTGTTGATGTTGCGATGCAAGCTTCGTGGTACGTCATCTTCCAGCTACATCTACATCTGATGTCGGAAACAATCGTTGGACATGTTCTGGCCAAAGTTGGTGGAATTGAGAAGGCAAATAGCAGGGCCCAACTTGCAGAATCCCAAGACCAAGCGCTTCCAAACTTCCAAACGATATGCCGCACTTTGCATGGGACCGATGACAAATAAACAAACTTGTCACATTAGACATTGACCAATTTCCCCTCACACATGCACCGTTTATGAATCTAGCTAGCGCTAGACCATCAAAGCGCCTGCATTTAATGAGATGAACGACACAGCCTTGGATTCAATTTAGACTTCGGAACAATCCTGACAACTTTCTGGTTGGTATCCTTGGTGTGGCAACTGCATCGAAGCAGCAGCTGCACTCGTGGCAATGAGGTCTGGCTGTACACCTTTCGATGACAAACGCGGAGTTCGTGCTCTCCTTTGCTTTTTGTTTGGCAAACGTGAGATGGTTCCTTAGAGCTATGGGATTATTTTCGTGCACTAAAGATTCTATTGATTTCTTGTTTCTAATAGCAAACATTGCTCCTAGGTCCTAGTAGTAAGGCGAGGAGCCCCTAGTAGCGTCCGATCGCTCCTAGTAGCTCCTTTGTTCAGCAAGAATCACATAAAGTTGTGCCCCTACACATGTCCACCGGCGAGCAACATGGAGTTAAAATGTTATGTCGAGACGAATGCAACGAGTCGCAGAACTTTCTTTTTCCGAGCTCCTGCCTTTAGTAAGACTTTGTTTGGCTCCAGTTGTCAGCTAGTGTCAACCTTTAAGGCTGCCTAAGTAACAACTCTTCAGTGGACAATGTCAACTCCCACAGTCAAATTGCAAGGGCCTGCTGCTTCACAAGCGCACGACCACGCCCCAGCTTCGTGCATTTACATCTTCTCCCATCAGTTTGAGGCTTCAAGTAGCTTCTCGGGAGTTGACATATGCAGATCTGAGTGTTGTGAGGAGCCTGATTTTCAAGGACCAGCAACAGCTGAAGTGATGCGACATAGTGACCTTGCCTTGCTGTCTGCTCTCGTGGAGTCTGGTTCTGAGGACCAATATGACCAAACATTTCCTAGGCCCTAGAGTCCTGGAGCATGGGTTCTTCTTCACCAAAGGAAGAGACTTAGCAGGGTTGGAGCAGGTTAGGTTAGGGGAGCAAGTTCTGTAGCAGTTTCTCCTTCAAGCACTTCCCCCATGGCAGAGAAAACACATCCGGAGTTCCAGTGGATCTGTTCGTCAGGTCCCAGAGCAATGTGGAGCAGGGAACCTGACACAGGGTGGGGGTGTGGGCAACTCAAGTCCGTCCAATAATTATATATAGTTGTCACTTGAGTTGTCTAGTTCTAATCAGTCTTTAGATTGACAGCTGCCAAGCAACACGCAAGGTGCTTCAAAGCAAATCTCGTACAAGAGCGTCCCTCACAACCACTACGGTTCTATGTCTAGGTTTCAGCTGACTTGCCGATGCCGCCCCCAACCTGTGCCGAGATAAATCATAGATATTCCCTTTGGTATGATATCCTTAACAAGCACATATGATATCCTTTGGTCGTCCATGCTATTCTTTTCTGTTCTGAACTTGAAGTTCAGTAGGTTGGATAGTGCAAGCACAAAGGCCAACTGCTGTCACCCCTCGGCACGAAGGCTCTGCAAGTTGAGACAGGTCATGACAAGGCGTTGCAGCTGTAAAAAGGGTCGGCCAAATCTGACCGGACCTACCTGCTCCGGAGTAGGGGGAGGAGTGGCACTTCGTCTTTGTTTCTCCAGTGCCTTCAGGTTCAAGAGCTGAACCTTGTACTAACACTTGCTGCGTCAAGGTTGTCAATGGAGAGTGATTGCCTTTCTGGGGTGGACTCGATTCAGTTGCAGCTGCTCCTTCAAATTCAAGCTCGCCTTGAATTGAAGTTGAAGCGTGAATAGCAGCACCCTTGCCAACAAGCTAGCATTTAAACCTGGGTACCCTCACCGAGTCCAAATGGGTGGACAGGTGTCGGCCAACCTTTTTGGAACAGGAGGGTTGAAAATAGAGAAAACGGATGTTTCAATATGAAGCATGCATTTTTCTTGTTCCCTCGGTGCTTCTGGAAACACCGGTTCCGGGATATGTTTGAAAGGCAGGGGCCCTACGGTAGGGGCCCTACGGTAGAGGGATCAAGATCGGAAATGTATGCATAAGGGTGGAGACTCACTCACCTATGCACATCTACATTTCTTGGGCACTTTCAGCCATTGTATGAACAAATATCTAGCAGCTAGCAAAATGTATGAAACATTATGAAACTAAGGGGGAGAGACTTGTCCAGGATCGAGGTATGTATGCACACCACATGGTACAATGCTGCAATTGTTCGGCAATCACAACCTTGCATGGCCACTTGCATGGCCTTGTGTGGGGATTTGGGATTTTGAGGTTTAGTTTTTCCTTTTGTGTTTGGCTCGAGCCGCTCTTTGCGCCCCCCTCTCTCCCTCTCTCTCTCTCTCGCATACAATTCCAAGCAGAACCCGCTTGGGACACAAGGTTTGCGCAGAACCCGCCCCTTCATGTTCCAGACCAAGGAATTGTATGCAAGGAGGGGGTGGTCACCGCCCTGAGGAAGCATACTCATTTTTCAGGGAAATGAGTATGAAAGGGCGGGGGACATCCAAAACTATCACATCTAAATATTGTATGACATTTTCATATGGGGGGCACCGCCCCTGTGACCAAGTGATATCAGAAATCAGCTTTGATCAAACCGCTGCCATTGTGTTCTGAAAGTGTCCTCTCCTGACCACGTGCTTCCCATGAGCTTGCTTACACAGTCTTTTCTGAGCGCAAGCCAAGAAACTGAAGGAAAAAAACAATTCATGCGAGCACTAATTCTCGTTTCTGACAATCGTTCATCCGGTTGTTGCCGGTCCTTGGCGTTGTGGGCAGAATGTAGAGAGTTGGGCACCGTCTACCGGAGTCTAGGATTCTGCCCCTTTGGTAAAGCACATGCCACTCCGCAATAGTTGTGAGATAATGTAAGCCAAAATTATTTAAAAACAATGCATGAGGTCGCAGTCCCAAATGAAACTTCTTCAAACAGAAGACATGATGACTTGGTCAAATTCCTTGGAAAACACCTTCCACCAGTGCCTGGAACGCTCTTTTGAGTATGACGTCGAGCTTCGGAAAGCCTGACATCCAAACCCCCAGACGTGGTGTCCAGTGGTTAGCTGGTGAAATTGGTCCTCATAATGGTGAAGACTTCTGGCATGCCGCTGCAGCGTTCCATGAACCTCAGCGACAGCCACAGGGAGGACAGCCACAGCGTCCGTTGCCACAGTTTACGGCCAGGAGCCCCTAGTAGCTTCTTGCTCCTAGTAGTACGGCCAGGAGCCCGTAGTAGCGTCCTGACCTCTTCGTTCCAAATTACTGTCCAGGTATTGCAATCGCCAAAGCATTAGAGCTCATGGGGCTTCATGCTTGATTGGTCACGAGAGAGTGGTGTGCACAAGGGAGCTTACCAAAACAAGGCCAGTGGGAAAGCTTAAAGTGTGGGATAGTTTTGAGATTGGGCAAAGGTCATCTTGTCTTGCCTCAAGTCCTTGCTGAAGTTGTCAGAGCTATGGCTTCACGAAAAATCAGGTTGTAACATGGCGTGGTGCACAACATTTGCCACAAATAGAGGTCTAGGCCCATCGGGGTGCAACTGAGTTCGAGTGGATGCATCAAATCTGATCGTGTGCAACTGAAGCCTATAGGGCACTATAGGGGGAAAAAACACCACGGCTCCGCTAGAAGTAGCGTGTTGCTGTTGATCAACACGTGCAAGGAACTGATCTCGTGGAAGTAGCAGCATCACAGTGCGTCTTGAGGGCGTCACTGTATATTCGTACCTCAACGATCGCTTCATCTGGTCCAGATGACTCTGCCACGGATTGGACGGTCCAAAAGAATCCAAACACGAACTACTTCCCTGTAATTCGGACCACACGGAACCCCAAAACCACGTCGGGTTGGTCTTCGGAACATGGTCGAAACCACCGGTCAATTCTCGGGTTCCATGTTAGTTTGCGGGAGAGTAGCTTTGAATGTCAAGGCAGTGTTGCGCATAAATAATGTCAACATCTGAGGTCTCAGGGCGAAGCAAGTGCTTGTGCAAGCTGTCATCCTCTAGGCACAAGCACGTGCGAGGGCATCAAGGGCCCATAAATTGCCTACTGGTTGGAGTTGGAGGGCCTTCCCAAGGATTTGCCCCTCTGTCGAGCCAAAGAACCACGTATCATGCCGGCCTCGTGGGTGCTGACTTGCTTGTTTCCATCGTCCGACACACTGGAGACAAAGAGGGTAAAATCAAAGTACAGTCGCACAATGCAGTCAACAAAGGTCACCCTTGAACCAACTGTATAATGTCGATTGTTGATTATTAACCCCTCCCAGAAAAATGTCTACACACTTTTTTGTTCGATTAATCACCCCTCTCAAATTACTGTCTGCACCTGTATTTTTAAAAACAATATTTGCTTATTTGTGTTAATTTATTTTCATTATTGCTTATGATTGTTCTATGTTTTAAAAACTTTTTTGTAAATCTTGATATCTGGATTAATATCACCACCTGCAATAATGTCTATTCTTTAGGTATTTAATCGCCTCCTTGAATAATGTCTACCCTTTTGCATACTCAAAAATAACTACCCCTAGAATAGCATCTACATGTTTGCCGTGGTATGAATTTTAAATAAGAACACCCCCCTAAAATAATGTCTATGCTTTTCATTGCTAAATGATTCCTTAAATAACTACTTATTTTGATTTCTATCTCACCGTAGCGATCAACGTGCAAACAGTAAGGGGTTTTCTCGCCACGCTGTTCCTAAACCCTGCAGCAATGCACCATGCTTCCGTGGTTGTGCATAGCTGCATGATACTCCAAAGCCAGGAGGCTGTGACTTGAGACCCAGAAGGACCTCCTCTCCAAAGCTATCAGTTCTTCCTGACAGTTGAGGATGGTGCGACAAATCTCGGCACGAATCACGCAACAGGATCACTTCGCTGGAAGTCAACATCTAGCAGAAAAAAAAAAGAACACATCCGAATAGTCCGAAATAAATCCGGAGAAAAGGAGCACCAAAAAAAACATGAGCACAACAGAACGCACCCAAGCACATCAGCTCGGTCATTTCGCTCACGAGCGGCTAGACCCACCCATCGGACGTGACTTCGATCAGCCAAGCGTCTCAAGACTTCGGTCAGCCTCTTGCCTGCCTCACAAACGAACGCATCGTCCGCATCATGAAGAAGCAGCATCAAGTAGCAAGGTTCTGGGTTTGGGGAAGGTTTGGAACGCTTTGTAACGTGCTCTGAAACTGTCTCTGTGTTCCGGCCTAGTAGCCTCTGGCTAAATGAAATGCACCCTGAAAGTGGAGCAGTTTGGGTCACTCAGGTAGTTACACTATGCATACTACTATGCATCAATATCCATCGAGGCGTTCGTTGGCAAATAGCCATGGCCTCCAACTTAATAGTTTCCTTAGACTATATCGAAATCATCTCAATTGATGGCCTGTGCAGTGAGGATGTCCCGACTGAAGATACTGAACTCATTTCCCTCAGGGGCATCGATGTCTTTCTCGAGAATCGCTGTGCCATCCTGAGCCCGAGTAACAGCCACAAGGGGATTGAAGAGGAACACACACACACACACAGGCGCGCGCTCGCGTGCGCGTAAGTATGTAAGCACACCGAACTTGCAAGGCAGTTGTTGGGTCAAACTGAGAGCTTTTCTTAAAGTGGACATTACCAATGCACAGAAAAACACACACATACATCAAGGCGAGCTACTTAGCTACGTTTTTCCTGCTGTGATCAACTATGAGCCCAGGCTTTCTCTGGTCCCTCCCACAGATCTAGAGAGCATGATGAACCCTTCCGTCTCTCTGTGAAATGAGCGGCCAGCACGATGAACATGCCAAATTGAAATCGCCCATCAGGTACAACCTGCTCACCTTGCCAGCGTCAAGGTAGGACAGCTAAATAAAAAATGCCAACTCGAGTCAAACATTGTCTGACGTTGTAGAGCACAATTGTTCGCTCAGGAGTCCTTGTTTCTGTTCCCGAGCGTGGGGTAACAGTCTGCGAATCAGTCTTCTCATCATCGACCCAAATCTCATAGCCTGAATCTATAGCTAAATTTCAAGTTCTCACTCAGTCTCCAAAGTCCTAGTTGAGCGGGAAAATCACCTCTCATGTAACTGGAGGCCATCGCTAGCAGGTTGGAGGTCATTGCTGGTAGGGTGGAGGCCATCGCTCGCCATCGCTCTTAGGTTGGAGGCCATTGCTTTTAGGTTGGATTTAACAAACTCCAAAGTTTAAAGTATCACATCAAAAGGTGCACGTCATGCCCTTCATCCCCGCCAGCCTTTTCTCACTGTGACTTGTTGTAGGATGCTGACAATCCGAATCATGATGCTCGTTGGCACCTCGGCTGGATCAATTGGAATGTGAATCAGTGAATCTGCTTGGTGCCTATGATACCTGGCATGGTACTTGATGTATTGGTCAGTGGTTTGTGTGAAGGCTATTCGGGTGGGGTCAGGTCAGCATTCTGTTTCTGCCTGTCCAGCATGATGAGCCATCCTGAATAACATGGCACTGTTCTCCACACGTTTTTTTTGCTTCACATAATCTACCTTGCTATCTGATATTTATATATGACAAGGATAGAGCCCTTGGGAGCTCAATCTGGATGTAAAGAACACCTCTTTCAGCCTTTCAGCGTTGGGGCATAAAGCGTAGGGTCCACGCATACTGGGACTCCAAATCAGGAAGCCATCCTTTCTTACTTTTGAGCCACTCAGGAAGCGTGTCTGAGTGCATGTCTATCAATGGGCGAGTCCTTCAGGATGTGAACTCACATGAGGTGCGTTCCACATGTCATCCACATGTCATCAGCAGGCATCACATGAACGCATGATAATATATTGTATAGTGCTTTGCTGAGGCACTCCGCGGAAAATTAGGTTCCGTTGAAGCTCCGGATGAATCAAGTAGCTGGCCTTGGAAAGGTTGCAATCACCATGACGCCATGGTTTTGGAACGGTTTTGTGCTCCGCATTTGGGACATGCCAATTTCAAAGCCGTTGCTTTCCTTTTTTTCAATCTTTCTTCTTGTCATCTTTTTTGCTTGTTTAGACTCTTTAGATGTTTCTTGGAATCCATCCGCTTCTGCATACCCCTGAGGACATGCTGATGTCAACCAGGGGGACAAATGTCGACGTGTTTAAACAGTAAAAAGGCTTTCATTCTCGGGGAGTTGCTAGGAGCAAAGGGCATCGCTACGAACGGAGCAAGGACGCTACTGGGAGGTTTCTTATTGGGTTCATCTGCCGTGCACCAATCTTCCAAGATGCTACTTCTTCACGAAGCTCAGAAGAAAGTTCCGCGAACACCACACCATCATCCCAAACCACCTCAACACCAGTGGTTCAGTCCATGATGAGAATTGCCAACAACTTCTGACGGTTCTGACGGGTGAACGACAGTTTTATGCTATGGCTCACCTTCTGCTTGCTTTCAGATGTGTGATCATGCCACTCAAATAAGTGGCACAACCTGCATACGGCAAAGCATCAACTGCACTCTCCAAAGCTGGCCTGATGACTGACGGCCATTTTGAAAAACGCCTCGACACGGAAAAGCAATGTGACAGAAATGAACGACAGAGCTTTGTCATGACCGACTCACAACCAATATGCCAGCTTCTTTCATTGTCCAGGCTTCTATCGTCACAGCATGCTTTTCTCTGCATGTCACAGGGTTCACATGGCCGAGGGATTTAACAGTTGCTGGCAACTTCTTGAGACCTCTGGGAGGACATTTCGGCAAACATGAAGAACATTGTAAATATTCATTAGTAACAAGTGCCACGCTACTAGTAACAAGTGCCTTACTAGTAGTAACAAGAAGCTGTTAGACACAATAAGCTACTAGGATGCGGCACCGGATCGGCATCTTCTCTCTCCCTAGAAGCTCAGCAGTACTGCGCTGCAAGTGCTCAAAACCGCAAACCAATCAAGCACTTCTGCAAACTTCTCTGAATGTCATTATTTCATATTGTTCTTACCCTGTTTGAGTCCGCTGCATTTTCAAAAAACAATCAAGTAAACTTATGCCGGTCGAAGCCTACTTGCTAAGACCTATGGCTACTTAGCTGCCATCTTGCTATACTACTCAGCCCACTCAGCCCACCGTGCTTTCAGAAACAACGGACCAAAACGTCTGGCCAAACAAAAGGCCCAGCCAGGGCGCCCAAATCCTCCGTCGTAGTTGTGCAGGGAAGCGGTGGTGGGAGATCCAGGCATCAATGATTTCCAGTCGCTCCTTGTGCGCTCGCCAGTTCACCTGAGAAAAGGGGAGCAAAAAGTCAACCGCAAACACTGCGACTGCCGGTGCTGATGCGATGTGAGCAATTTGCAATGGCAAATGAGGGTTTTCAGGTAGTTATATATGTGATAAGAAGGTGAAGGATATGAGAAGAATGTCACTTCCGATGAGTGGAGCGGAAACTGTCGCTGTGAAACTGTCGAAGTGCCATCACCACCTCCCGCCTTGGCGAAGAACCTTGGCGAAGAACCTTGGCGAACACCTATGCGGCAAAGCTGCATCATTGCTGGCCAAAATCACGGAGATATTACCTACGACGTAGCCATAGAAGGCCCCTCCAATAATCATTGCCGCCATGGTGAATATCCTGCATCCAATCCAATGTGATACTACGGATTGGAAGCATTTCTTTTGGAGTTAAAGCACGGCCAAAGAATCTGTAAAAACAGAGTGGAGGCCATCCCTGCTAGGGTGGAGGCCATCTCTATTAGGTTGGGGGCGCTAAAGCGCGGCCAGATAATCGAGGAAACAAGATCTTTTAAATCCGGGTCGCTGGGTCAGCTGCTTGTCACATTCTCACTTCGAGTCAGAGTGTTCTCAAGTGCTCTCCATGTGTCGGAACGGCGTAGCATATGAAAGCAAGTTCTAATTTATGCGGAAACTATGGCACACGATGGCAAATCTGCGTTGAAGTCATTTAGACACGTGTCATCCCGTCAGCCACTAGGCTGCTTCGGACTCAATTGTGTCAGGGCACCTGCTAAGGAAGATAGAGGCCAATAGCAATGGCCTCCAACCTAGTTGCTTCTTGTTCCTAGTAGCGATGCCCTTTGCTCCTAGTAGCTTCTTGTTACTAGTGGCAATGGCCTCCAACCTAATTACGATGGCCTCGACCCAGTAACGATGGCCTCCAACCTCATAGCGGCCAAAAACCTGTCAGTTGTTGCTGGTGCCCCAAGGCTGAACTTTCCACGCATTTCCCAGTCCTCTCTTCATCTGACCGGGGAATGATGTCACCATAGCCAACCTTTGGTGTGCAAGCTGTCGACCATGTTGGCCGGCAGCCATGTACAGAAACACTGGAGTGCAAAATACAAACACATATCACCCTCTACTGCCCAGACTTTAACTAGGGGCTCCTGGCCGTACTACTAGGAGCAAGGACGCTACTAGGGGCTCCTGGCCGTACTTTCATGAACAATTCTTGAACAGAAGCCCAATTGGCGGCATCTGCAAGGTATCTTCTGGCACCTTCACGCAAACGAGGCACAGTGGTGACAGTCGTCATCGCCCAATACAAAGAACCTTGTCAGAAACGTCACATGACTATTAGGTTGGAGGCCATCGCTATTGGGGTGGAGGCCATCGTTACTAGGTTGGGGGCCATTGCTATTAGCTTGGGGGCGCTCAAGTGCGGCTCCGCTTTGTTGGCATGGGTCTACCAAAACGAGAGAGATGTTTTCCCTTTACAGGTGTGATTCCCGCTTTTTTGTTTTAAATAATGCCCGGAATATATCAGTTTGCTCTGCTGGGCCACCAAAGAAAGAAGGAAAACTGCAAGCACCATGCCATGCAAGCAACTTTAATGAAAGGTCAATGCCAAGAGGCAAATGTATTTGGAGGCCGCTGATTCACCAGTCCACTCATAAGTCTCCTCATGGTTGCACGTCACTCACACGCAGCCGGTCCCAGTTGAACACCATGAACGCATTATCCGACTGGCAAGTTTGGAGCAGGAATGGCGATAGCGATGGCCTCCAACCTAATAGAGATGGCCTCCAACCCAGTAGTTCGGGGCAGGAATGACAATTATGGATCGGTATGAACGAGTCTAGAGTCTATTTTGAAAGCAGCGGCACAGCGGTGACCGAAGATTATCTGCCTTCCTCCTGGTCTTAGCTAGGTGCACCGGGCGACCCCGCAAACAGGATGGTGCACCTCGTGCCTGTGGAAGTGCACCCTAAACTGTAATATGTGAGACCGTGTGCCAAATAAACTGTCATTCATCGCAGACTTTGTGAGCTAGTCAGAAAATATTTGGGCAAGACATGGCAAGACGCACCTAAATTCCAAAGCTAAAAAAAGATCAGTGATAACAAACATTCACTATGTCAAATAATTGTGCCGAAACCTGCAACATATTATTCCAAATGATGTTAACATATTTGCTAAACTGCTAAATGACGTGTCAGGACATGTATATATTCAAAGTTGCATGTCAGAGGGTTGGTCAGTCTCATTGTTTGCCAAAAGCAAATATGTCAGTTCCTTTCAGGGCGGGCTTTGTTAGACGACCCAACTAAATAGACTCCTCTTGCTTGCTTCTTTCCTTTCTTTCCTTGCCTTCCTTTTCCCTCATCTCCTCTCCTCTCCTCTCATCTTTGCTTTCTTTCTTTCCATTGGACTGGGCAAACAAACTCTCCGTGTCACCAAGTCTCAAGGAAGCCACTGCCGGAAATGTGCATAAAGCAGGCCAACAAGTGGCATAAAAGGCAACATGCGACCTGAGTCGAAAAGCCATCTTGGGCCAGCGTCCTGATCACATCTTGTGGTCCTTTCTCTCCCTCTCACATCCTATCTGCACTGCCAAAGCGGGCCTGGGTTGAAATTAGAAGCGTCCCCAAACATGAGGTGTTTTTCACAAAGCAGAAGCAAATCCAAATCCATCCAAAACCCCTATCTAACTTTTCCAGGTGTCCTTCAGGGGCGTGGCTCTTCCCGCCCAAGAAGCCAAAATCCGAAGGAGCTCGAAGGCACGGCGGCCGCTGTTGGAATGCCTCAGAACGGCGGCTACATGGCAAAGCAAAACAAACGCACAAAAAACTGTTGAGAAAAGGAGGTGGACGAAAGGTTGGTAAGCAACGACGAAGGGTAGGTAGCAGCAAAAGAAACTCAACCACACGCTTCAAGACCCGAGACTTAGTGGGTGTTGAGGGCGGGCCTCCAGGTTAGCCTCGCTAACAATCCTCGGGTGGCGCATCACAGGTCAAGAACCGGAATTCTATCTCAGACTTAGTCCTAGTAGCTTCTTGTTACTACTGGTAAGGCACCTGTTACTACTAGCGTGGCACTTGTTCCTAGTAGCTTCTTGTTACTACTAGTAGGTGTCAGACTTTTCTGACCCATGGCGGAAGAGAAGACAAACAGCCCATAACCGTTCAGTGGTACACCTCGTCAAGCACCAGCTCGATACACTTAGAGTCTAATCTTTCAAGATGTATGTGGTTCACCAGCTGCGTTGCTCCCATCCTTCGCCAAGGTGCATCACGGCATCTTCCAGCATGCTCCCAAGTTCTGAAGCTTTCAAGATTTTCCACAGTTTTACGGCACGCACGACTCTCCTTAGCTTGATGCTTGAGGGCAGGGTTCCTTTTTGGACTCCGACAGCCCTTCATCCTCTACAGCTGTCAATGTCGCACAAGTTTCACGCATGCAACACATGTCCACAAAAAGAACGTAAAACACAAGTACCCAACAGTATGCCCTGCCAGTGTGGACCTTCAAATACAATGCAATACAAGATGTTCTTGATGTCCAAGTGCCAAGGAAGGAGATCCATCAAGCACCTGAAACTAACTAGCAATAACTAGCACTCTGCAAGGAAACTTTCCATTTCCTGTTTTCCTAAACATCCAAGAACCGGTTCGGGCATGTGAAAGGTTCTTCAAGGAGGCGTCCATGCCTCCAGTCGCTAGTGGCTCTACTAGCTGGTTCGCAAAACCGCAGCTACACGCGCAACAGCAACATCCGGCTTTCTTTTCCCCCTTTGTGGCCTCTTCACGGGCCAATCTCCCCCTTCGTTACTAGCAGTGAACATCGCTCCTAGTAGGAAGGCCAGGAGCCCCTAGTAGCGTCCTTTGCTCCTAGTAGCGATGCCAGGAGCCCCTAGTAGCGTCCTCTTGTTCCTAGTGGTAACACTTTAAAACACGTCTGATGTCTCACATCTTTGCTCACTGAGCTTCAGGATCTTGAAGACCTTGCTCGTGCGCAGCAGCTTCAAACCTCCCATCGTCTCATCCGTGATGCCATCGGTCAAAAGTTCCCACGGAACCTGAGGAATTCACCAAACACAGAAAGGGCCGGAAGTTACTAGTAACAAAGGGCATCGCTACTAGGAGCAAAGGACGCTACTAGGGGCTCCTGGCCTTACCACTAGGAACAAGAAGCTACTAGTAACAATGGGCTGCTAGTAAAAAGAAGGACGGCTATCTGGTTGATGCGGGGTGGCCGCTCATACCCATTAGAAAACGTCAGAACAAATTATTCTGGTTTTGAGGTCGATTCGCTGGCAGTTGCATGTGTTCATTTGTGCTCTTGTATCACATCATCTATTCTTTTTATAGTATATTGTCGCTTGTTTGTGTGCTTGTTTTTACCTATTAGTATAGTTAAGTTTCCCTAAACATCTAGGAACCAAATGAATAGTGGAGCGTGAGCTATCCTGCGTCCTGTCGGTAGTAGCTACTTACGCTACTAGCGACTCCCTTTAGCTTCTACTAGCTACCTCTAGCTACTACCTCCTTCCAGCAAAACTGATTGGGTTTGGGTGCTCCGAGTCGGCTCTGAGCAAAATGCTCTCATCGCAGCATATCGTAGCATTAGGTGGTGGAGCACGGACTTGTCAAGAAGACAACTCTGTGTCCGAAGATGTGCAAGAATGCAGCCAGTCTGGATGCCCTCAAGGACGCTACGGGGGGCTCCTGGCCTTACCAGGAGCAATGTTCGCTAGTAACAAAGGGCATCGCTACTAGTAACAAATGCCTTACTAGTAGTAACAAAAAGCTATTAGTAACAAATGCCTTACTAGTAGTAACAAAAAGCTATTAGTAACAAGTGCCTTACTAGTAGTAACAAGTGCATCGCTACTAGGAGCAAAGGGCATCGCTACTAGTAACAAAGGCATTATTCTCAAAGATCGCTCCATATCGCCACGCACTCCGAGCGCGTGCCCGCTCGTCTCAAATTTGAGCAAGGCCACAGCTGTGACAAAGTCCAAGAAGAACCAGGTCTTTAAATATCTTTTGGCGATTCGACAAGAGTTATGAACTTCTTCTCCTGCCTGGCAAGTGAAGTCAGCTGAAGGCAGCGGACTGCTAGTTAACTAGTTACTCTTCCTAGTGTGCTCAGTCCACTTCTTTCCCTCATGACAGCCCATGTTGGCTTTTCCAAGAAGACAACTCTGTTGGAGCGCATCACATACAGCACAAGCCAACAAAAATGCAAGCTCGTGCGATTCCAGTATACCAGGTTCTTACTGGTATGTGACCAGGAGCTTCCCGTGCAAGCTTGGCTGATCTCCAGCCTCCTAGAGAAGCACACAGGGAACTTGTCCACGGGATATGGAACATGATGTCTCATGAAAGCCCTTGCTTTGGTCAACGTGGGGTTTTGAGGTGTGCGCGTGTCAGGCGCAAAGTCTTAGTCCAATGTGGCCAAAATTTGGGCATTGCACATGCCAATGTGGTCCACAAGAACATGCAGTTTGTAAAGAAGATTTCTCGGCCAAAAAAAAGGCCAAGCCAACGCAGTGACACTCAAATGCTCCATGGGCAATGGAAGCTGAAGAAGTACGTCCCCTTGACGCTTCCAAACAAAGCTCATGCCTGCAACGATCGGGTGATGAGCTATATGTCTTGGATGTGGCGGGCCAACGACGACGTTGATCTCTGGAAGGCTGCCAAAGCTCTGTGTCGAGCGATGGAGTGAAAAACGCGTCATCAAAGATGCACGGAAACGACGAATCTAGAAATCACCGGGTGACTGGGCAGAGCCAAACAAACGTTGCGTCGTAAAATCCAGGACTTCTGTACTCTCTGTTAAAGCCAACTCAACATGAAATAGTTAAAATATACGCGGGGTTTTGAACAGTTTTTCCAAAAAAGCATGTTGCGACAATCTCAAAAACCCGGGGTCACTAACCACGCCGTAGCCTTGTTTTGGATGAAGGCATTGCTCATGGCAAGCTGCAAGCTGCTGTTGAAACAAGACTGGGAGAAACAGGTATTTTGCAAGGCTTTGGAGCGAACCAAGTGGTCACACGCTACGCAAAGTCACCGATAAGCTGGCCTCATCCAAGAAGGTGGTTCGAAAATTGAGCAGCACGTCCAAACAGAAGCAGCTGGTCATGAAAGCCTGAGTATCGCCGCAAAGAAACAGCAGCTTGATTCCATCCAGAGTTCCTTTTCATCCCATATCTCATTCTGACAAATGATTCTGACACCTGGACATGTAGTTCCATCACACCGCTCACTCTCACACTCTTCACGAACCCTACCGGGCCGCATTCATACCACGTTGAAAATCGTTCTCCTGCAGGTAGGCCAGGGTGTATGGCATCACAACCTCAGGTACAGGAGGCCAAAACCAAAGAGATGGACTGGTTGGTGGCTCCAATACGGTCACATGATTCGACGTTGCACATGGAAATCTGGGAGTAGACCCTAGGCCCTAGGCATTTTGTAAAACACAGTTTCTTCCTCAAACTGTTGAACACTTGGCAATCAAGCCCCTGCCCTTCAGTAGGAAGTGAGGGAAGACATTGGAGTCACTGGAGGCAATACACAAAAGGCCCAGCACATTTGAGAATCCAGATTCCTCAAGGAAACATCAAGCAACATATCATGCTGGGCATTTTGCCGCAAGAAAGGATAATTTTCGGAGTTACAACCACGAATCATCGGCAAGACGCTGCGATGTAGATCAAGAGCAAGAAAAGCAGCGTATCCCAAACCATTCTGGGGCTGCCAGTGCCTTGGCGACGACACCATGAAAATCTTCGGTTGTCAAAGCAGCTTCAGGCCCAGTGACCTCTAAGCAACCAGTTCCAGGGCTTATCATCCTTGGCCGTGGGCAGTGTCGAGTGCTTTTCGGAGTCTGACAATGGACAGTCTGACAGTCAAATCTACCTCGGCATCAAACACCCTTGACGCTTCGGTGATTTCACGCGATATTTAAGAACAAAGAGTAAAACGAACAAATCCCAAAAAACGCTTTATTTGCACGTGTCTGATCATTTACATTTTTTCTGATATGTCTTAAAGCTATTTTTAAAAATATGTTGCGGTATTTCATGTGATTTCAATATTTTGCTCTGAGGTTCCCAGTTCCACGTGTAGCTGCTGTGCAAGGCCTGGTTCCTTGGCTTGGCATGTGACAGCGGTGTGTGTCGCGGCACTCAACACGGCACCCGATGCACCCGAGTGAAGCTGAGCAACTATATAGTAGCTTCTTGTTTTTAGTTTTTAGTAGTAATGGCCTCCAACCTACTAGCTTCCTGTTGCTGTATAAGAATCTTCAAAGACATAGTAGAAAACTTCTTGTTACTAAGCCCTGCAAACTATATTAGACCCTTCTTCCTTTTCTTGTGCCATTGTTTCCAATAGCGATGACCTCCACCCTAGTAGCGATGGCCTCCCCTCCAACCTAATAGCCATGGCCTCCAACCTAATAGCTGCGAGAACACAACTAATCCAAGTGCGGAAGCTTGCGTAGTCTCGTCTCAAACTTGTGCCACAGGTTCACGCATGGCCATATCCCAAAGCAACTAAATGCCACAGCCAAATGCACACCAAGCCTCCCATAGTCTGCCTGCACCAAAGCCTTCGTGAAATTCTCCATGACTGCACCCCCCCTTCCCGGCGACCAATCCTCAGCCCAGGTGCTTTTTCCAAGACTTCCAAATCTACATTTACATGTAATATTCGCAAAAATTG